TCAAAATTTAGTATACTCCTTGCAGGGAGTGGGTGTGTGAAGCGGGGGGTATGGGGATGCAGCAAAACACTGTAATCACTGAAGATCAGAGCCGTAGAAAGAAACGCTGGAGCTTCCTCAGCACACTATAAGCGTTATTTGTGATGACAAAACAAGACACCCAGGGCCTCTGAGATCATCTAAACACTGAAATAACCTTGAGTGTTAAGGGCTGTCAGGAGACTGGAGTGTTCACTTATCTCCTGATTTTGTTGCCTGTTCCCTAACTCTTCCAGTCCACTTTCCAGCCAGCAGCAAAAGTGATCTTTTAGAAATGTAAATCACCTGTTACTCCTGTTCTTCAAACCCTCCAGTGGTTTCCAATGACACTTAGAATGAAATCCAACTCACTCCAGGTCAGAAAGACTTATCTGATCTAGCCCCTGCCTGGGTCCCTGTCCTCATCTCCTCTTTGTACAACAGAGTCCAGTCATGTGAGTATCACCTTGGGTCACTGCCTAGAACAGCCCAAGATCTTGCCTATCTAAAGGACTTTGCACTTGGTTCCCTCTGCATAGATTGCTGTTCCCTCCTATCCTATGGTTGATTTCATCCATTAGGTGTTACCATCTCAGAGAGGCTTTTCCTGACTTTCCTAACCAAGGTAGGTCTCCCCTGTGATTCTCTAAAATGCAGTGTTCATCTCCTTTCACAGTATTTAATGCAACCAGCAATTATTTACTTGTCTTCATCACTGGAAAGTGACTTTGTCTCAACCATTCTTGTATTTCTAGTGCCTAACACAGCACACGGCACAACCAGGCACTGGGCAAATACTGCTGAATAAATGAATGAGTGCAATGTGTTTTAAATTCGCTGAGCGTGATCTGTAAAAGGAGTGGCTTGCAGTAGCTCTGTGACCCTCACACTTATTTACACATCAGAATCACCTGGAGAGCTTTCAGAACATACAGATTCCTGAGCCCAGACCTGAGTCACTTCTGGGTGGGGTCCAGAGAGACAATATACTTCATAACTTCCCCTGAGGACTCTGATTCAAAACCAGATAATCTGTGATGCCCTATCTGGCTCTAATGTTCTGTCGATTATCCTACAGCTAGCTACATTCTTTTGGTATCATAGCTGGATTCTGATATGAGAAGCTGTTTAGGTGGCAGCAGTGGAAAATCATTAAGAAAAAGTACAACTAAATCATCTCTGTGTCAAATGAGGCTAATTACACCAGTAAACCCTCCCTGTCAGCATATGGATAAAATGCACAGTAGAAGCAGCTGGGAGAGATTTATCCACTTCCTACGCTCATTCAGCAAGATGCAAGTCAGATGAAGGAGCACTCCTTACAGAAATTCCTAAATCAGCTTGATCATCAAAAGCATTTTGATCACATTAAAATGAGTGGAATTCATCAGAAGAGAATTTGAATCTAAAAGCTTATTGCTTGGGGGAGTTTCATATTTATATGCAAATAGTAGTTTTCTATTTTCTTTATACACAATTCCACCTAGAAGTCTCTCAGTTTCTTTCTGTAAAAGCAACAAGATTTTTGAAAGCTCTTTTGTTTATTGCCGTTAATATAATGGTTTCTATCTTAAAAATGGCTTTTAAAATGTAGTACATGTAAATGTACTACATTATGTAAACATACTGCATTTTATCATTGCCTTTGTTTTTCTTTAAGTATTTCTGCAGTTATCCATGAGTTATGAGAATAATACTGTTGAACATTTATTGATGGTTAGTCTGTGCCATGTACCATCCTACTCTATATATATCTATAGATATAGATATAAAACCCTCATATATATGTATAAAACCTCATTAATTTTCTCAATAATTGCATATGGTAGACACTATTATCAGATATGGGCTAAGTTGCTCAGTATCACATGACTTAGAAATGCAGCTGACACTGAAATCCAGGTATACTGATTCCAGAGCCCCCTCTTTAATATTTAGCTCTGTATTTCCTGAAGTATGAATTATTTTAAGGTTGGGGAGGGTTGGGTTAAAAAATTGGTTTCTTTAGTGTAGGATTTCTCAGAGTTTCTCAAAGTTAATTGTGCTTTACAAGTATCTAAAACACAAATGCAGAATATAACATTTCCCAAGCCTCCCTGAACAAAAGGGTTTTTTTTTGTTTGTTTGTTTGTTTGTTTTGCTGCGTCTCTTTAGATCATTGTTCTGCAAAGAAAAATCTATGAAATGATGGTCCACAAATCAGTGGTCTACAAAGTGGTCTACCTCCATGCCCACCAAGGCCAACTCTTCCCCCTTTTACAGGGACTAAAAGGAAGATCTGGCCAGGCATGGTGGCTCATGCCTGTAATCCCAGCAGTTTGGAAGGCCGAGGTGGGCAGATCACCTGAGGTCAGGAGTTCAAGACCAGCCTGGCCAACATGGTGAAACCCCAGTCTCTACTAAAAATACAAAAATTCGCCAAGTGTGGTGGTACACGCCTGTAGTCTCAGCTACTGGGGAGGCTGAGGCACAAGAATCACTTGAACCCAGCAGGGAAAGGTTGCAGTGAACTGAGATCATACCACTGCACTCCAGCCCAGGCAGTAGAGTGAGACTCAGTCTCAAAAAAAAAAGACTTGATAGGGGAGAGGCCAAGGATAAGTTGCCAGTACATACCTGTGTCCTTCGAAAATTCTCATTCAAGTAGATTGGAAATACCTTTCCAGGGCATTAATTATGTATGAAAAGCCTTTCAACCTGGAGTGCTCAAGATAAAACACTGGGGTAGAAAGAAAATATTTTAACTTCCATTTCAAACTCACACTTGATTTTTTTTCCTTTTTCACAAATTTTATCAATAAAATATCCTTGGACAGATACACAAGAAACTAAAATCCTTGGATACTTTTGGAGAAAGGAATGGGATAGCTCAAGTTTCAAACTTACATATATATGAAATGTTGGAATGGTAACATGTATATCTGTTTGTTTGTTTTTATTTATTTATTTTGAGATGGAGTCTTGCTCTGCCACCCAGGCTGGAGTGCAGTTGTGTGATCTCGGCTCACTGCAACCTCCGCCTCAGCCTACTGGGTAGCTGGGACTACAGGTGCCCGCCACCATGCCTGGCCAATTTTTGTATTTTTAGTCGAGATAGGGTTTCGCTATATTGGCCAGGCTGATCTTGAACTCTTGACCTCAGGTGATCTTCCCGCCTCGACCTCCCAAAGTGCTGGGAATACAGACATGAGCCACAGCGCCCAGTCAACATGTATAGTATCTGTAAATATTTAATATACATAGATTGGAGATGGGTCCTAGTAGGTTGGTGCAAAAGTAATTGTAGTTTTTGCTGTTACTTTAATTTACATATAAAAAGTATTTAATTTCTTCATTTTCTTTGACCTAGCAATTTCACTTTTTGGAATTTGTTCAATTTACTCTAAGGAAATAAACTTGTGTGTTTATAAACGATTTAGCTATAGGGATATTTATTAAAGAACTATTTGTGCTTGTGAGAATTGAAAACATTCTAAACATCCAACAACTGAGGATTGGTTATATAAATTATGGTGCATCCATACAAAGAATCCTAACAAATGGCAATAAAAAAGTATTTAGTAGTAGAGTACACAGTTGCCTAGAAAAAAAGAATCCTGTCTTTGTCAGTCAAAAAAGCAGATGAGAAAAAATGATAGAGTTTGTACGCTTTAAAGAAAGGACTGGAATGAAAAAACCGAAATGTTGATAGTAGTAGCTTCACAGTGAGGTAAGGGGAAAATTTTATTCTCTGCCTTCCTATGTTTTCCTAACTCTTGTACAATGAATGTGTATTTCTGAATAAGAATATATTTACGGGCCAGGCACGGTGGCTCATGCCTGTAATCCCAGAACTTTGGGAGGCTGAGGCAGATGGATTGCGTGAACTCAGAAATTCAAGACCAGCCTGTGCAACATGGCAAAACCCCGTCTCTACAAAAAACACAAAAATTAGCTGGGTGTAGTGGTGCCTACCTGTGGTCCCAGCTACTCAGGAGGCTTGAGCCTGGGAGGCAGAGGTTGCAGTGAGCTGAGATCGCAGCACTGCACTCCAGCCTGGGTGACAAAGCTAGACCGTGTCTTAAAGATATATATAATAAAACTTGTGTATCATATATTCTTGTACCCTTTGTCACACAGATAGCATGCAAAACACACTCTTTTGTACTTTGCCATATTGTGTAAACTTGCACACATGCCATTTTACCCATGTAGTGTATCTGAGGATACATTTCTCAAGGTGGAGTTGCTGGGTCAAAGGAAATGGACATTTGTAATTTGGACAAATGTTGCATATTGCCCCTTCAGGGTTTGAAAAAAAATCTTCTCATGGTTTCTTTTAGTATATTAGTGGTCTGGATTTTTTTTTTTTTTTTAACATTTCACTTTAGATCCATTTTCATTGATATTGGCTTAATGGATACTTAATAAGAAAAACAAATAATTTAAAATATTAAACTCACTTTTAGTGGAAATTCAAGTGCTGGTTGTCCCCATCTGTTAGATCACAGGATCTAGATACAAATAGGACATCTTGCAAAGGTTCGGCTTACACAGAGGATGAATGACATAGCAAGACCTCTGCTCCACCGTACACTACTTTATTTGCTTCCACAGTCAACTTGTAGTGAAGAGGCAGACCCTAAGAGTTTGATTTCTACCTTCAAGTGAATTCTTCACATCAAAAAGAATTCAGGTTGCCGGTTGGATTTCCCTTCTGAAATATTGTAAGTTGCTTTAATTTTTAAATAAAAACAAGTGGAATCCCCTGGAGTATTGGGGTATATAGGTACGAGCTGCATGAATTTGTGTGTGGCAACATGATGGCATATAGGAAGATAATTAATTTTATTCCTACAGAGATTCTGTGGTCTCTGCTAGTCTCTGGCAAACATAGCAGCTGTACTGAAATGTCAGATGGATTTGCACAGCTGACTCAAGTTGCCGAAAAGAGAGCAGCATAGTAGTTCCATAAATTGACCCCAACCCGCCAAGCCCTGCTTAATATAGATCCGGCAAGAGCTTAGCTGTGATCACTCCTAGCTGCTCAGCAAACCACTGAGGTTCCTGGGGGAAAAAAAAAAATATCTCAAGGGTGTGTTAACTTGGGACACTTGTTAACTTGGAGACCTTCTTGAGGCTTTTTCTTCTTTCTTTTTAAAAATCATCTTTGATTATTCTTTTCTAGTAAAATAATATTTAGAAAAAACAATGTCAGAGCACAGCAGAAATTCAGATCAAGAAGAACTTCTCGATGAGGAGATTAATGAAGATGAAATCTTGGCCAACTTGTCTGCTGAAGAACTGAAAGAACTGCAGTCGGAAATGGAAGTCATGGCCCCTGACCCCAGCCTTCCCGTGGGAATGATTCAGAAAGATCAAACTGACAAGCCACCGACAGGAAACTTCAATCATAAATCTCTTGTTGATTATATGTATTGGGAAAAGGCATCCAGGCGCATGTTGGAAGACGAACGAGTTCCTGTCACCTTTGTGAAATCCGAGGTAACCAGAGATTTGTGTACAACAGAGAAATGGCTGCCTGGGCTGGGCTGTTAGGTGTCCCTTTTGTAACTGTGATTTCTCAGGACTTCAGGGTTTCGTTCTGCTTTGTTTCTGCCATATCTAGATTAAACCATAATATTTAATCCTACTCCAGACTGGAACTTTCTGAAACACTTACATTTATATTTCCAAGGGGAAAATTGGGTGATTTCTTGCAAATGTCTCTTTTTAAAAATTGCTGTCGGGTTTGCTGTGTCAGAAAGCCTGTGTTCTATTGCCACGATACTTGGTTTCTTAACTCATAACCCAGGCAGTTGTCCTTAACTCTCTCTTTCTTTTTTATTGCAGGCCCCTTTGAGAAACTAATGACAGTTCTGTAGCCTCTGTCTCTCTGGCACATCCAAACATATGCAGTGTTTTGCACACAGTGTCAAACATTTCAGTCCTCCTGAAGTCTGGCCACACACCCTGCAGTTAAACCAAGTCGAATAACCAGAGAATGTCTTATATTATTACTATGTATTGGCTGTCAGTGACGACATTTAGAAATAGATGGCTATTAAGTGGTTTTTGAAGCTAGTTCTTCACTTTCTAAAATCTGAAACCTAGAATTGTTGACTCTTCAAACTTACTGTGCATGAGTATAATTTTTTTTTTTAATGTTCCACTTGAAAATGACTTAACAAAAAGAGTACAGAGATGCCTCCTAGGTAAAGTCTCTTTAGGTTATATCTGTTGACAAAGACGCATCTTGTTAAATTACTACGCTGGCTGTAATTAAGGAAAGTTGTCAATTGGTTTTACAGTCAGGAGAGCTTAAACATGTACTACGATTAAGAAAAGAAACAGCTGGATTGATCAGGTTAGAGTTCATGATACAATCTGCAGATTTTTTACAACTGGAGGTCAGTGGATTAAAAGCCAATTCAGTGTCGGGGGTAAAAATGAGTACTTGCAACATTTTTTTTCTTCCTCTGGTATAACTTAAACAGCTTGATAGTTGGCTCCCCCTTCTGGTCAAGATGAGAAATGCAGTGGTGAAGACTTCAGGTGGTTAATGTGACTTGTCACTGTCTCTTCCGACCTA